GCTCTCCCAGCATCGTAGCCGCCCTTCCCGCCCGAGTCCAGCGCAAGAACTCACCCACAGAGACCCCCAAGGGATCCCAAATGATACAACCGCCCCGTCCCATGGTTTGGGGCAGGCAAAACTACCCTCAGACCTGATTTTAGGAGTGAGCAACCATCCACGCACCCCACAACAGCTCTACTACCGATGACAAACACAACCCAAACGAGCCTTATTTTCACAGAATCACAGAATGTCCGGGGTTGGAAGGGACCTCTGAAGATCATCCAGTCCAACCTTCATCCCAGCACACCCAACCACTACACCACAGCCTCAAGTGCCAGATCTACTTTGTTTTTAAACCCCTCCAGGGTTGGGGACTCCACCACCTCCCTGGGCAGCCTGTTCCAGTGCCTCACCACTCGTTCAGGAAAGAACTTCCTCCCAATATCCAACCTAAACTTACCCTGACGCAACTTGAGGCCATTTCCCCTTGTCCTGTCATTAGGAATTAGAGAGAAGAGACCAGCACCAGCCTCACTCCAGCCTCCTTTTAGGGAGTTGTAGAGGGCAATAAGGTCTCCTCTCAGCCTCCTCTTCTCCAGACTAAACAAACCCAGCTCCCTCAGCCGCTCTTCACAGGGCCTGTTTTCCAGACCTCTCACCAGCCTTGTTGCCCTTCTCTGCACCCGCTCCAGCACCTCGATGTCCTTCTTGTGCTGTGGTGACCAAAACTGGACACAGCACTCGAGGTGAGGTCTCACGAGTGCCGAGTACAGGGGCACAGACTCACAGATCCCCTCGCAGACTCACCCCATTTTCGCCCCCGATGAGATGCACTTCATCCACGATGAAGAGGTTGACGTTCTGGACGTTCTTGCGTTGTTTCCAGCGTCGGGAGAGGATGTCCCATTTCTCGGGGGTGCTGATGATGATGTTGCCTTTGCCGAGCAGCTTGAGGTCGGTGCTGGTCTCGCCCGTCAGCAAGACCACTTTCTTATTGAGACGCTCCTGGAACTTCTCATACCAGTCCAAAAAGACCTGCCAGGAAGGTGAGGGACGCTGGCGTTAGCCTTGAGTTGGGACAAACCCCTGGAGATCAGCAAATTGCTCCCTCTGAGAGACCTCGATTAATCTGGAGTCATCCCAAAGGATGCGACAAAGAAGAAGGGATGAGGAGAAGTGAAATGAGGATGAAGAAGTAAATCTAAGCCCAGGTAAAGGTTCTGGTTCTCCCCAGGGCTGACCTGCTCCGCCAGGGCCTCCATGGGGGTGATGTACACGCAACGTCCCTCCGAGTTCTGGAGCAGCATCCTCAGGATGGCAAATTCAGCGCAAATGGTCTTCCCGCTTCCCGTGGGGGCCCCCACGAACACGTTGTCGTCGCTGTTATAAACCGTGTTGAACACTGGAGACGGACGCAAAACGCAGACGAGAAAGGTTTAGGCAAAATCTCCGCCGATTTGTGTGGAAAGAAACAGGCAGGGAAAAACGGGGCCTGCCGAGAGGAGGAGGGGAGTCGAGGCAAACACTCACCCTGAGTCTGGATGGGGTTGAAGAAAGGGAACTTGTCCTGGTAGAGGCTCTCGAAGGCGCTGTTCCGCAGAGCCGACACGCGGTTCCGCGGAGCCGACACGGGCAGGGGCTGCAGATCCAGCAGCTCGGTGGGAGGTGGGTACTTCTCGGGGAGGATCAGGTGGCGGAAAGAAACGGGCAGCTGGGTCTCACAGGCTGTCAGACACAGGAAAAAAATAAACAAACCCCCAAACGTTTTCATTTCCAAAAGGTTTCATCTCCCTCTGCTCAGGGAATCCCCAGTTCCTGCTGTCACTTGGATGTCAGAGTCCAAACCACCCTCCCCGAGGCCGGGGTGAAAACGAGGGGCTCCTGGCAGAGTGGGACTTACAGAGCCAGCGGTCGGAGACCACCCGGATGAAATACTGCGGGGGCAAAGGCTCGAACACAGGCACGAAGAAGGTGACGAGGTGCTCGTCCT